GTGGGTGAGGTTGAGAGCCAGTTGTGGGAGGAGATAATGATGCGGCCTGGCAAGAAATCGTTCTCACATTATTTTCTCGCGTTTCGTGCCACCGGCCATGTGTGTTTGTTTCGTTACACCCCTATGAACCGTAGAGTATAGGGATGTGTACAATATCTGCCGAAAGTTTTTGCCACATTTACCAATGCATATTATTTGCATTATACGGTTGTTACGTAGAAAAAACAATTCTTAAGTTCTGCGTTTTGTTATTATTTTATTCTTATACGTATATAATATATTGTCTCATGTGATTTTATTATTACGAGAATTCGTCAGATTTTTCAGATTGTTCTTGTTAAGGTATTTTGCAAATAACCTGTACCGTTGGAGGTTATTGTTTTTTTTTTTTTTTTCATTTACAAGTATTTAATATTTTACTAATTGATTGTGAGATAATGAATCGTTAATTTCTATCACGATTAGATATAAATGATGTGTGTAAAAAATCAATGAAGTTCCAGTTGACCTTTTGATCAAACTTTTGGTCGATAGTGTATAGATACTAATATGAGAAAATGTATATAAATATGCTTAGATAGAAGGAGGAGACGAACTCGTTCTATTGGGTAATACAAAATCAATTCGATATCTTCTTATCGGGGAATATATTTTCAAACAAATTTATGTTTCAAAATTATAAAGGAATAATGATTGATAAATGATAAAATTGATCTAAATAAAATTGTACATCGTTAATATTATTAATTATGAATCATCGTATACGAATTGATAAAGAATTTGATTCATTTGAACTCTTCCTCGTGCTACGGTATGTTCGAAGTATGGTGGAATTCAAACGACAAGAATCGAATCCCTCTCTCCTCCACCATCCCCTGCTTTCTCCTTGTACTTTTAGTATGCGTGTGTGTTCAGATAGAACCTTACCGAGTCCTTCCTTCTTCATTCTCTCATTCTTTCTATTTCTCTCTTTCTCTCACACGTTAACACGCGGAATTTCTCTTTTGCATCTTGCTCGAAAGTGCCGAACGTTCGAACACCTGTACAAGAAACTTCTTTCGCGAATATATTATGTTGTTTTACATTCCTTTTCGATCAGATCGTACGAAACAATTAATTAAAGAAATAACACACACACCGAAGTATAAGATTTATTGTGATTACATCAAACGATTACATCATTTACTATAACTCATGCATAAACATTATTCAATCTTTCATATATAATTTATCGATATTGTATTTACCAATATTTTCATTCCAATCGTTTATTAAAGTTGTATTAATTAAAAAAATATATATATATAAAAAGAGAAAAAAAGGAAGAATCATCTTTTTGGAAAAATAGTATTCTAATAACATATATCTCATTAATTATCGTGTAATACGAATCGAAATAAATTGTATTTATTAAAAAATTAAAGAAAAAAATAAATAAATAAATAAATATACGAGAATAATTCTCACTAGATGGAAATTGACAAGGATGAGAAAAATAAAGAAAGAAGATCTAAGAAACCTTAATGAGTTTTAACGACGCGAAACCATTTAAGTAAATCGTCCAGAAAAAAAGAGAAAGAGAAAGAGAAAAACAGAGAGAGAGAGAGAGAGAGAGAAAGAGAGAGAAAGAGAGAGATCATTTTTTATCCACGCCCGGTCAAGTTTCACGGCTGTGAAACCTTTAAGCGCATAACGCGTAAGCGCGTAATTGCTCGGCGACGTGCTGGCAAATTATTATTTATCGCGTTAGCTAATAGCGGGTCCTTTTATAAAAGAACTTAATCGAACGTACAAGACCGCGAAACGAATCGTTATACATATTTACAAGGGATAAATGCAGTGAGAGTGGCAGAAATTTAAAAGCACGACGACAGGTCAGGTCGGGACATTTTTGTCGGATTCGGGTCGAGATTTTTACAAATTTATCATCACATATAAACATATTCGGTTATCCAATCACGAAAGAACGAACATCGGATCCACAAATTAGAGAATCGGATTATAATAACACCTGGACAGAGATAATAATGAAGTATTAAATGACAAATCGAATACAATATACAAATCGATTATCGGATCGCGAATAAGGTTCTAAATCTTCAAATTAACCCAATTGACTATAAACTGGGTCATCGTATATAATTACCGATAAGAAGTTACAATTAATTATCTTCGAAGATCTGGAAAGGAAACCAAACAAATTGAAATCAAATTACAAATAATTAACTTATCGATTGTACATTATTAGGATTAATCAAAAGCTCGTGCATTATTAAATTAATATTTCTCAAATAAATTTTTACAAAAAACGATTTCATTATGAAATTTATAATACAATTTACAATACAATAAACGCACGAACGTTTACCCTAATAATTAACAACATTTATAAGAAATATTATCAAATCGTACATCGAACAATTTCATATATCTTAACGTGAACATTTTTTTTTTTTACATTTATACCGTGAATTATGGACAATTTTGTATAACCAACGAAATAAAGTTTAAAAAAGAATCAAAAAGAGAAAGAAATAAAGAAAGATAGAGATTAATAGATATACAGAACTAGAAAGAGAGAGAGAGAGAGAGAGAGAGAGAGAGAAAGAGAGTACTACACACGACACTGTTGCAGCGTGGTCGCGTCATTCATCGTGGGTTTTCCGGCTGTTTATCGCGATAGTCTGGCAAACGGGAAGCGGTTACAATGGCGGACACGACGAAACAAAGAGCTGAGCTACCTCGTGCAGGTACCATCTACGCTATCACCCTCTCTCTCTCTCTCTCTCTCTCTCTCTCTCATTCTCTCTCACACTCATTCTCTCTCATATTCTCTTGCTCTCGTAACGACGTTCGTGCGGGGTTACTGTGAATATCGTGGGTGATAAAGAGATGTAGGAGACACAAGAGGAGGTGGTGGTGGAGGAGGAGGAGGAGGAGGAGGAGGAAGTGGTAGAGACGCGTGGAAACTATACTGGGGGGGGTGAAGAGGGAAGGGGGTTGTCGGAACGATGACAAGGAAGGTGGTGGCTACCCCGTCGGAGAGCGGAAATACAAAACGAACGTGTGATAGGAGTGTGAGAGAGAGAGAGAGAGAGAGAGAGAGAGAGAGAGAGAGAAAGAGTCACGGTTATAGTCTGATAGATCCGAAAAATGCGTTTCGCGGCTCGTAATCGTGCAACGCGCGCGACTCCGAAACGAGATTCGCTAGCTTGCTATGTCGCTAGCTAGCGTGCGTTTTAACGAAGCTTATATGTGAGGATAAAAGGGAGAATGAGAGAAAGAGAGAAAGAGAGAGAGAGAGAGATGAAAATAGGCAGGGTTGTTTAGTGTACGAAAGAAAGGGATAAAAGGGTATGCCGATCGGTGACAAAACGTATCACGCGGTATGGATCGTACAAAAGTAACAAAACCGTTTGCGTTAGCGCGAAACGCGCTAAGGGCCCATCCACAATGGTCATCCTATGATTTTTTTCATTCCCATGTATGGAGATATCTATCGATACTGTTCGTTAAAAAAAAAAAAGAGAGAGAGAGAAAAAAATGTAAAAGAGAAAAAGGCGGCTCTCGGTGGTTTTGAAATAGTTATTGCTTTCTGAATAACTATCATAAAGTAACCTGTAAACTCGACATTTTTGTTATTCTCTTTTCTTTTTTTTTCATTTCGTTTCGTTTCGTTTTGTTTTGTTAACCGATATTCGATCGAAATGTACAATAATGGATTGAAGATATATATAGTATTCATCTTTATGATTTAAATCAATATTTTTAAATAAAATTATATTGTAAGAAATATGAGATGCATAAGAACTTAATTACTCGTTCAGCCACGTGACAGAAACGAAATAGTATGTCTGTCTTTTTTTCTTCTTCTTTTTCTTCTTCTTGTTCGTCTTCCTATTCTTCGAACAATTCAAAGTCATAACCTTACAATGTATTCGTCGAGGTTGCTCTAAGGTGCTGGGCAATGTTCGTGCAAAGGGGGCTTTGCCATAATTATTCGGCCAGTAATACAGGGCGCCCTTCTCTTGAGTGGCAGCTCATATTACTCGCCTAACCCGCATGGAAACTTACCTCTTCGGTAAGGACGAAGGTAGAATGAGTATTAACTGCAGTAAGAAAAGACGAAAGAGTAGACTCGTACTGAAAAACAAAAAACAAAAACAAAAAAAGAACAAACCAATAACAAACGAAATGATTTCCCCCCCCCCTTTACATTTATTTTCTTTTTTTCTTTTTTTTTTTGCTTCTGCAAGATTCTATTCTAAAAATTTATAATTCAAATTAGAAAGAAATAACTTGATTTTACAATAAAGAAAAAAAATATAGAAATGTTCAGTATTGCAATACTTTTTAATATTTTATAAATTTGTATATTAATGAGATAAATGAATTAAGTTAAGAAATGTTTGGTCTCGATGTAGCACTAAAGTAAGTGAATATAAATTTCATGACGATATTTACGAATGATTATAATCGTATTTACAGTAGATATAATTAACGAACAATGTTATAATATGAAAATGATTTGACCGAAATATTAACAATACTTAATGAGGAAATAGATAACGAATGAAAACGTATCCCGAATTGATTAAGTAAAATGATGTAACGTCATTTAAATCGATCTTTACGTTCATTAATTATCAAAAAAATATGAATAGGAAGAAATAATTAATGTAATTAAAATGAATAGACAATACTTTCGTCGTGAGTTTAAAGGGTATATGGATATGTCGTATAACATCATTAGAACATTAATTTTCACTTATAATTAAATGAAAAGTTTCGAACAAATAAATTGAATAGTAATAAAAATGTTTTAATCGAATTTTCGATTACTTATTTATACTTATATAACTACTTACGTACAATTACTTATTAACTTACGTGCCTAACGAAGAATATATCATCATTTTGCATGGGTAAAAAAATTGGATGTACGATAAACGAGAAAGTTAATCGTAAACTTCTCCTCCACTCTTGTATAAGTTCTACCTCGCGGATATATCCACAGTTTCTCTAACCTGTAAAGAGAGACAGAGATAGAGAGAGAGAGAAAGAGTAAGAAAGAGAGAACGACGAGTTCTCGTCGTCCGTTCAAAGGACGTCGTTGGTGACTGTCACCGATTAAATTCAAATTAAAATGTAAATTAAAAATTTCTATCTATCTTCTAAAAAAAAGAAAAGAAAAAACGGCTACGTTTCGTAGATTATAATATATTTTGTCGTTATTCTCATTCAATTTTGAAAAGTCAACGTGTACTTCCCTTAAGAGTGTAACAAAAGTATAATAAATAAATATATATATATATATATATCTTATCGTTTGTGAATAAACCTTTATTCGATCATTGAATTTGTATTTCTTAAAGAATAGTATAACATCAAATTGATTAAGAAAGACAATTTCTATTAATCAACTTCTTCGAGTTTTAATTAAAACACTCGATAGATTTTTACTTTTGTTTTGTTATTCCGACATATTTCTATTAACAATGTTATCCCCGCGTTCGAGTAAATTTGTGCGTGAGTAAGAGATAGAGAAAGGGTAAAAGTGTGATAGAGATAGAAAAAGGGAAAGGGTAAGAGGCCGTAGAGACGAGCAATGGAAATTTATTCCTTGTTCTGCGCGGCAGCTGCAAATTAATTCTGTGTCACTCCCGCTCGCGGACAGAACGACCAACCGACCGGTCTACTCGAGAGGAAAAACACCAGTAACGAAGAAAAATAATCCCTGCTATGACGACACGACTACGGTAGTTCGATGTTGCACACCGCGAATATACTTTCTTTCTCTTTCTCTCTCTTTCTCACTCATTGCTGCCAAAAAGCATACATAGTTGCGATCATTTCCAGAAAAATGCAGAAAAATGTTTTCCGGCTACTCTCTCTCTCTCTCTCTCTCTCTCTCTCTCTCTCTCTCTCTCTCTCTCTCTCTCTTTCTCTTCTCTAATTCCTTGTCTGTCTCGTACTTTCTCTATACTTTTTGTTCAAGTACACGTGTAATGCCTACAAAGATTTATATGATACGAAATTTTAACTCTAAAGTATACAAAGATTAACTATAAACAATTTTGTTACATATATATTATTCGAATAGAAAATTATTTGTATGTGTGTGATACAAATAAAATAAATATAATTCATTTCCATTGGTCACGTAGTAATATTTATAATAACAAACACGATCTACAATATTTAGAAAAATATTATTAATTATATACAAGTTAACGGTCATAAATATATATACAGAGTTTACATATCACAAGTATCGACGTGCTTGATTACATCAAGATTTTATATAAACAAAATAAAAACAAAAGTAATCTAAAAGAGTCAATCATCGTGATCGAACATGCAAGTATATTAAACCTAACTCAGTCTCTTCGTACACTCCTTTCATTCATGAATATCCCGGAGATACGTCGTATCGGTAAAGTAATTAGCGATTAAGAGCTGACGATCGTCTCGCATCATCGACCAAATCGTTTCCAAGGAACAAACGTGTAAAGGATAGTAATGGAGAATAGCGAACGCGCGCGAACACACGCGAAACCAGGGATATCCGTGGCAGGTATCTCTAACGAACAGACGACGAACGACGATGGGGTTGAGAATAGAGAGGAAGGAGTGAGTGAGTGAGTCAGTAAATGTGTGAGTAAGTGTATGAGTGAGTGAGTGAGTGAGAGAGAGAGATAGAGGATGGACCGAGTACGCAGGGTAGGGGATTAATTAATAACGTTGGTAATTGGACTCCGTTCGATCTAAGATAGCTCCTATATAGTCCCTTCGTATAGTCCCTCGCATACCAAGTCGAATATACGTACGTGTGTTTGCGCGCGCACCATATTCGAATAGCCCCACGACATTTGACGCTTGATTACGCGATCCATTTTGAGATTAATCATACTTTGGGACTACGCATTTGCTTATTGCCTAGCAAGTAACGATGTTCCAAAGTCAAGAGCAATCGTTTATGAACGATAAATAATTTATTTTTAAAAGCATCAATTACAGTGATTATGGTTTAGGTATGTGAACTTCAGTTTTAGATAGATTTTCAGTGTGAAGTTTTGAAATTTAAATAAAATGCTTTACATTTGGTAATTCATACCTGAAATTATATATGTATATATATAATTTCTTAATTTTTGAAATGAAAAAGTTTAGGTAAATGTAAATACGATCAATGGTTTTAGCAATGCAATCCTGGTTGCCATCTTTTCTTACAACGTCGTCATTATCCTACCAACAGATCAACTTGATATATGTATATATGTATATGTATATGTATATATATACATTTAGTAGAGAACCCGGTGCGTTTATATGAGGTAAACAGTGCGTGGACGTGATTTAATTGAAAATCGAGGTGTGTGCTTCGCTCTTTCTCTTTCTATTTCTCTCACTAGATTTGTAGCATGACTCACAGAACGACCAAAGTAGAGAGAAAGAGAGAGAGACAACGTTCCCTCAAGAAGTCCATTGACTTGCCGAGTGACGTAAGCAATTAGTGCGCTGTTTTGTTTGCACGAGTACACACGGCTTAAAGTTGTTTGAGTTTGAGGTGAAGCGCAGCGCGAGGCTTCGGTGACTCGTTTAAAATCCTTCCTCTTCTTCTAACTTTCTCTCTTTCTCTCTCTCTCTTTATTCTTCACTCACTAACTCATTCTTCTTCTTCTTCTTCTTCTTCTTCTTCTTCTTCTTTTTCTTCTTCTTCATCTTCTTCTTCTTTCTCTTAACCTCATCTACTTTTTCTTCTTATAATTTTTTTTTCTCCTGACCAGAAAAGAATGAGAGAGAGAGAGAGAGAGAGAAAGGGGAAAAAAAAGGAAAGAAAAAGGAGAGCCCATGCTTGAACTTTTTCTCTTTTCTTTTTCTATGAACTCGCGTTTCTCTTTTGTCTCCTTCTACAGACACTCGTTTGCCCGTATTTTCTCTCGGATAACATTTACGAATGAAATTACTTAAATAAATGATTATCATTTTCTTTCGATATTATTTACTATATAGATTCGATTGAAAACTAATCACGAACGTGTCGAGCCACCCTCTCACCTTACCTCCTCCTCCTCCTCCTCCTAGTGTATTTTCTACTATTACATTGAAATTGAATCTACAGTTTTTCGTAGAACTATCTTAAAATCTTTAAATGTTTTTGGTATTATTTGAATAGTTAAATAGGATATCTTGTGCACACGTTTTCCCATCTAAACGAGAAGTATACGAAGTAAAGAAAGACACGGTGTAACGTTAAAAGAAAGGTGCGAATTTCCACGTTTCCAAGAAGTTTGCCGACTAAAACAGGCCCTTCCTCTGTCCCGATATCCTGCCCGACAACTTCCTGAGATAAGCCGTGGCGATAGAGGCGTAAGCCTTATTCCCATCCCTTCCCTTACCTCTTTCTCACTCACAGTTCTCCCTTTGAGTACAGTCATGCCAAAGGGGCCCTATCTTATCTACTACAAACAAGAATTACGTTCGTCGTATAATCTCCGCTCGAGGCCTCTGTGACCTCGTAATTTATTATACGAACAACTGTGCCTCTCGAAACACGTGCAATTCCTGTGACATATACGAAATATTGTTACATCATTTTTACCTGGATAATATTAAAAAATATAATAAAGTTACACAAATGCCAATAAAAGTATACTTATGACTCAAGCATTGAATAATATTTAAAGCATACTTTCATTTTTAAGATAAATTTTACATCACTTTATCATCATAATCGACTTATATAATAAACAAAAAAGTTAATAACAAGATCTTTCATTTTGTTTTATCAACGATTTAAGTTAGACCAGTTCATTTCGTCATAAAAATGACGTTTAGTTTAAGTAGAAAATATGAAATACCCCTAAGGAACTAAAATGAACAATGTTGAACGATACTATTTTCGATAAGAAATATCGGTTATTCATCGATCATTTGATCGTTCGAAGTAGGATCGATTAAGAACGATGAAATTTCTTTGATGTCCGCTTCTTTCGATAATCGCCACTTCATACATCCGTTCTTTTTTCTTATACCGCAAAACATTAGAAGCAACAGGACGTAACCACGTAGGATGTTCCGATAACCGGCTTGACATATCAAGCGAACCATTTCGCGCGTGCCTTCTTTCCTATCAAGAGTCCCATGAGAGAAAGAGTGAGAAGGACGGAAGGAAGGAAGGAAGGAAGAAAATAAAGAAGAAGAAAAAGAAGAAGAACACGAAAGATAGACAGACAGACAGATAGACAGAACTAAAGAAATAAAGAGAAAGAAAAGAAAAGAGAGAGAAATTGTGGAATAGTAAGGTAGAAACGAAACGGTTTTGTCGCCAAAGAGAAGATCATTTTCCACTCTACCAAGAAGAGAGAGAGAGAGAGAGAGAGACTATCGTTTCGATAGATGCCTTAGTCAGAGGGGGAGGGAAAGGGGATTGGAAAGAGGCTAGAGAGTCGCTTTACTGCCTTGGTTTTTTGCTCGCGGCATCCTGATTGGTGTTTTTGCTTGGAGGTCCGATTCGATCAGTTGGCGGTAGCACTAACACAAGGTGGCCTGTAAACTAAGAGAGAAGCGAGAGAGTTGTGTGTGTGTGTGAGAGAGAGAGAGAGAGAGAGAGAGAGAGAAAGATAGATAGATAGAGGGAGGACCTTGCACGGTGTCAGTCAATTATGCCTTAACAATGGGGTTACGTTTCAATTACATCGACGAGGAATTGGGTATATCTATACGAGAGGACGAGTAACTCCCGTCGTGACTGGGCTCTATAATACCAACCACCAAGTCTATTCAGTAACACCGCGTCTCCTAACGCAGATAATCGTTATAGGACTCGATATTAGACGTCGGCATGATCAATCGGTCGGATGACGACGTTGTATCTATGTTCCATGTAGGTATCGCGATAGTAATCGTTGTCAATGCCCTCCCCCCGCCTCCCGACCTTTCGATAACGGGGGCCAGATTTATTACCAACAATCTCTCTTCCTTTTCCCTCTTTAAAAAAAAAAAAAAAAAAAAAAAAAAAAAGAAAAGCAAATATTCTGATAGATTTAACTAATATTTCCGTCGGAGTTTGACTAAGGATTTACAGGAATGAACACGAGATCCATTTGTCTAAATTAAATATTGATACGTTTTAAAATAAGAATATGTTGGATAGATATTTTGTAATGCTTTATTTTATTTTAATTTTTTATCTTTTCTTTTTATTTTTATAAATATTAACAACATTTATATTATATATTTGAATATTTGTACGTAGATACAGAAATAATGAAAAATAAAATTTGATTATATTTTACTTGTTTTTTGCCCCTTTTCAATATGCTATTAATATTGTACCAACTAAATTGACAAAAAAATGTTGGAATACTATACGTCGAGTAATAGGCAAAAGATATCATGTCGGTCGAAAGGAACGCATTCCTCCATGCGAGCAGAAGGGCCTGAAAGGAGGGCCTTAAGGACTCGACTTGCCGACGATGCATCTGGGAGAAGGGTGGGAGAGAAGGGGGCGACCGCGACAAAGGACATTCTAGGGGGCGATTCCCCCTCCCCGCCCCTCTCTCTCTCTCTCTCTCTTTTTCTCTTTTTCTCGTTCTGAGGTAAGGAGAAAAACAAAGAAAAAGATAGAAAGAGAGGGAGAGAGAGAGAGAGAGAGAGAGAGAGAGGCGGTCCATGGCGTCCCGACGTTGCCAGTTCGTCGACTTCAGGGCCTCAAGTCCCATACTCACGGAACGGGCCCTTATCTCTCTCGGGCCCACGCAACCGCGCGTCATGTCATGCAATTTATTGGATCGATCGCGCCTTCGTGGAAACTCTGCGGCCGATCCATGGTGAAAGCTATTCCCTCGCTTGTTCTCTCTCTCTCTCTCTCTCTCTCTCTCACTCTCTCTCACTCTTTCTTATGTTCTTAGGCCGTTCTGGTTTCGCGTTAATAACAGTAAAACAAGGATTATAAAAAACTACCGCTTTGCTTTCATCTATTCCAAGCAAGCGAATGCGGGCTTATTGTTCCGGAATAAAGAAATCATTTGGTTGACGTTAATCGTTTCTTGATACGCTATTGATTAATCCTTAAAAAGCGTAACGATAAATTATTCCCCCCCGTTCACATTTTAAAAATGTTTTCCCGTTAGAATTTTATTTTATTTCATTTCATTTTTTTTTTTTTTTTTGTAATTTTATTTTATCATATATTTCTACGTCAGGATTTAAATACATTTTCATTTATTTTTCAGACTTTCATTTTATGTCACATGTAACGAATAAAAAATACTTATTTCATTATTTGTCTAACAGAATTTACAATGCTGTTAATAACGAGATATATATATATAAATAAAATCTTCGATTCGATTAAGTACAACAACGGAGAAAAATATTTTGAAAATATTTATCAATAACGGGGATATTCGTTATCTGACTCTCGTATCTCTTGATTTTACGTTTGACGTATCAAAAAGCTATCGCGATGATGAGAAATTATCATTGTAAAGGATAGAGCAAACGAGAAGGTTAAAAGGGATTTAAAAAAAAAAAAAAATAGAATAAACAAGAAGAAAAAAACCTTGTAAAAAGAAAGAAAGAATGAAAAGAAAAGATTATACGAAAGCATTCTCAAACTGTCGAATCGAATTTCTGGGTAATGGCTTCCCTAGGACTCCCGCTGCCAAGAACATGGGCCCGTCTACGGTGAACTTAAATTAAGGGTGGACCCCTCATTTTCTTAAAATATTAAATCATCGTCCTGGTGTCGCAGCGGGGGCTACCACGGTGCATCTCCTCCAGGACCCCGTAGAACGAGCTCTGGGTGAAAAGGAATTAAAATTCATTGGTCTCAGAAACCCATGTCACCGGCCGAATGCCATCGTAAATACCTGATCATCTCTCTCTCTCTCTCTCTCTCTCTCTCTCTCTCTCTCTCATGCTTTCTCATTCTCTCATTCTCTTTCTCTTCCTTTCTTAAAAGGTCACCTTAAAAATTCTACATTTAAAAACTTGCCAAGGGCTCACTCTTTCTCTCTCACTCTTACCCATTTGAAATTTTTCGACCGTAACATCGGAAATAATTAGTCCTGGTAATCGATTATCGTCTTAACTTTCAAACCTACATCCCGATGGCAACTTATACCTCAAATATATATATGTACCTATTTTCGTTGCAATCATAAAAGTACGTTGTCTCGTCGATTCATTTTATTAAATGTCAACGTTGGATGGTTTTAAATGACACGCATTAACCAGTTGACTGTGGAATTTAGTTTCAAAAAATCACCACAGGGTGCGGAATTAAAAACAAGCAACGACGTATATATACGTCGAACGCAGGACAAATGGTATTGTTATACATTTTACGAAAAACGAGGAAAGATTAGATTTTTATTCGTCTAACTAACAATTCGTTTCTTAATACGTTATTCTTACTAAAAGCTTGAAAATTATCAAAAAATAATAAAATACATAAACAAGAAAAATTAAAGATAACAAGAATAAAGAAGAAAAATAAGAAAATAGTTTAGAAAATTTCAAGCAATGTATGTGTGATATGTTTCAAAGTGTTTTAATACGCTTAATATACAGGTTTATTAATTTTTTATTTTATATATCATAAACTAAATATATCTTATTGCTAGAGATAATTATCAATATCTTCTATTTCTCTTTTCTTTTTTTAACTACCAATCTCAAACTAGAATCTCAAATTAGTTATGATTGTGGATAACTTGATTTAAGCGCTCGTTGAACAATATTCGCTATTGGATTTGTTAATTATCGCAACGGCAACATCATGTCAAATGCGTATTCCATATTAATTAAGTACTAATTCAGGTACTATTGTGTATCGCAGTTCCTGATTCGCAGTGGCAGCTTCGCTCTGGGTCTAGGTTAGTAATATACGTATATTACGTTCATCTATGTTATGTGGACAATATTTTTATTAGCTATTCGATTAGAATTATAATATAGAATTTCATATAAATATTCATTGATACATTATTATAATATCAAATTGTCTCTCTATATATGTATATATATATCTTTACTTATTTATTTATATATTTAAGATTGCAACAAGTAAAGTTGAACGTTTTTTTTCAAATTCAGCAATCCTCTTACAACGAGAGTATGATCTTTCTAGGATATTCAAAAGAATGTGTCGCACAAGTAGAGAATGGATAGAGAAAGACAGAGAGAAGGTCCCAGGTTGTGTAGAGGGTGGATGGGGGGAGGGTAGAATGGGGAGGAAAGATAGAGAGAAAGAGAGAGAGAGAGAGAGAGAGAGTACCTGTTGACAGATATTTGCATGTGAATAGAGCTTTCTGTACCACTAAGCGACTCGCCTAATCTCCCAGAGATTATTTTCTCGCGGACACAGGTTTTCTACCCATTGACGCGCATCTTCTCTGTCCGCTATTATTATTGTAATTTTCTCTCTTCTCTTCCATAATCTTTATCCTTATAATCGATTTTGTCGATCTTACGTGACGCGTGAATTGAAGTTTTTAAAAAGAAAGCTAAAGAAAATGGACTTTGGAAGCAGAGAGATCATTACTTTTTTTTTTCTTGTCATTTTAATTTTCTTTTTTATTTTTTTTTTTTTTTTAATGTACTTATATACACGTATGGTTTCATTGATAAAGTCTTGTAGTTAAATCTTTGATTTTCAATCTATGTAATAAGGAATAAAGAGAGTAAAAACCCATGTTGAAAAGGGCATAGGATAAAGGAAGAAAAAGAGAGGACAAAAAAAAGAGAGAGAGAGAGAGAGAAATAGAGAGGTAAGGTAATCAAGCGAAATAACCTGAGGCATCCAAGATATAGACGGCAATCTAAAGGGACCTAGATAGACCTAATTTAATTAATAGGCTTTGGACGGTCACGTTGTACATGCACGTACGGATTAATGACCGGATAACATTGTTAATTTCACGTCGACCGTCCATCATGTCAATGCAAAGATACGACACTGACAGTGAGCCTGACGTATACCTTACATTCGTATACTCCCCGACGTGCATTTCTGAGTACATGCGTGTACGAAGAACGTGCATATGTAAGTATCCCTTCGTCTCATTGGCGTAGAACTCTTTCTTTTGTATCAAGAATTTGATCTATTTGTTTGTGTACTCTTATCAACAATATCAACTTTAACGTGGATTTTCGAAAAATTACACAAATTATAGAATTTTAATTAAAGTTTCATTTCGAATTAAATTAATCCGATTATTAACAAATACCATTTAAATCAAATTAATATATTAAAATGTATTAATACTAAATTGTACAAAATTAAATAATGTTATAAGAATTGATATTACTTACGTGTTCTCTTTTTTTCAACCATAAATGATTTCTAAATAAATACAAGAAATAATAAAGGGAAGATCCACCAAGATCGTCACCAATGCATCCAAGTATCTTTATGATAAACACGGAGAATGACTATGATCAAAGTACTTCGGTGTACTATCCGTACATATAATTGGAGTATAGCGCCTTGAATAACGTAACTTTAAACAAGACCATGTCAAAGTTCGTTTGTAATGTTCAAATTAGTTTAATCCATCTATCGATGATTCAATACAGGTTGTGTTTGCCTCGTGATACCTTAACACAAAGAAAATAATTCTATTAATTAAAGGGTATATCGATAAGAAAGGAATGTACAAAATAAATTAATTGTCTCGTCTATATCTACCTGTCTCTTTTGTATAATATTTTAAAACAAAGTTTAAAAAATAAGACTAAAACATCAAATTTTTCAGAGATACGCCAGAAGAAGATTAGGATGATTCGATGAAACAAAACAAAAAATAAAATTTAAAAAAAAGAAAAGAAAAGAAGAATTAAATTGTCATCTTGCTTTTTTCTTTTTTCTTTTTTTTTTTTTTTGTCCAATTTAATCCGCAGAAGATTGGGTTGATGAACTTTGAAGATAATCAAAAAGACGAGAGAGTTAGAGAGAGAAAGAGAATACTTCTTTTAGTCTTGTTCTATATGTCATACTTTCTCATCGTTTGCGTTTCCTCGTTGCAACGAAGGTGATTGAAAGAGGAAGGAATGGAAAAAGAGACAAGAATAACGAGAGAATATAGCAGAGAGAAAGAAAGAGAGATAGCAATTAAAAGGTATTTATACACCAACCAATTCGTGATCACCACTCACGTCGTCGTCCCTGGAGCTTGAATAGGTCCCTGGATGATGTATTAACTCATATTTGTCTCCTCACAATGCCCAGCTAAACTGTCTATCTCTTTCTCTCACTCGCTCTATCTCTTTTCTTCTATTTCTCTATCGTTTTCTCTGTCCAGGTGCCCGACGTTTTACACTCTTCCATCTCTCTAGAGAACCTACGAACGACAGACGCGCATGGTCGACATTATAATAGGATAGACCATACTAAACGAGAGACCAGGGACTGTGGAACAACTTCTGGGAGCCCCGGAAGGAACGCGATTTCGTAAAAGGAAGAATTTCATTCCTACGAATGTATATATAACTTTATTTATTTTTCTACCATTCGCGTATATATGTATAGACTTTATTTTATCCTATTCGTTTTCTTTTTTCTAGGAAGAAAATATACTTTTAAAGTGTAAACTGAACTTTATATATGTATATATAATATATAAAGGATTAATAATAAAACTACTGAGTCATTTAAAAAGGGACAGGTATCATAGATGGGGTACCACGGTTGAAATAAATTTGATTTGAAATGTGTAGAAGGGCAAAAGATAAGTGAGAGAGAAAGAAATATAGAAAGAGAATGATCTCCGTCCCTGCTGGTACAGTTCCACATTCCTCATTCTCAACGGGTGGTTCGTTCCTCGAATATATTCGTCTTTGTCTATTCTCTTAGTGATGCGATAGTTCCGTTGCATACTTTTTTTCTGATCGATCACATGACCTCGTCATTCTATATGATAAGATTGGCTTTAATCTGCCAAGTGACGGAACGAAACGAACAGCATACCTCTCGTCGGTCCGACACGCGTCAAAGTCTTCATGCGATTCCAATTGTAACGATCAATTTGAAATTTAAAATGACAAGACGAGAAAATGACGCGTCTATGGTAAGAAATGGAGAATATTATTCAATTTTTGTCTTTTATTATATTTTTTTCTATAAAATAAATATCTATCACACTTATTATTATTCTTCCATTGAATTCAATTTTAATAATCTATGCAATAGGAAAATCAAGTTTACCGTAGACACTTTTCGGTATTCTCTCAAATCAAAATCCAATTGTATTTGAACAAGTAGGAATTCCCTAGACGTTAGTGTCGCCTTCGGCTAGAATATTTTAAACGAATCACGCGATACGCCGCGTCTCGTCCATCCAGGGTTCTAGACTCATATGTTAATAACCAACCACCTTTTCCATAAAGCCAAAAACTTTAGATTCGTGACAGAGCGTATGGTAAAAATTACTCTACATTTTTCTTTTTCGAGGTGAGGACAAAAAAAATGATAGGAAGAAAAGGAAAGAAGCGTGCGGCAGGCAGACAGGCAGGCGGGCAGGTAGGCGCGGGTGTCCGTAAAATTTATTAAAACCACAAACACAGCGGAAACGCAGCCTGATTTCTAAAGCGTTCTGTATTTTTCCAATTCCGGCTGGTGCATGCGGTTAATTACCTACATCTACCGGACGGAACGAGATGGCACTGTGGGTGGATGGATGGTACTCTAGTACGGGGAAGTGAGGTAAAAGAAGAGAGAAAAGCGTTACACTAGGAAATATTTCGAAACGTCGGCTGATCACGTCCGTAGTCGCGGACCCGCGCACGCTACCTCGCGTTTGCACGAGAAAACTTCGGAAATTATTCTCGATTATTCAAATTCGCAACCCTTGCCGCGAGCTGCATGAGGGCCGATTCAAATTTATGCAAAAGTCCGGCAACGCGAATCTCCGTTCTTATTAATATGGATCAATTTGACGTTCCTCCTCTTGCCTTTTTCCCCTCTTACCATTTGGGCCCACCACACGTACGGCACTTCTCTTACTTTTTTTCATCTTATTTTTTTTTCTCCCTGTGAAGTACCTCCTCAAATTGGACCACCTAACACTCCAAGGGGGAGGATGCTCGTTCAAACGACCTTCAGACTCTCTCTCTCTCTCTTTTTCTCTGTTATCCTGATTTTTATGAATCTTCAAATTCCTTTGAATGAAAAATTAAAAATGCAAGCGTTATCAAATTTTTGATTTTTCTATGTAATATATATTTATATATATATATATATATATATATATATATATATATATACGAGCATAACAATATGAAACATACTGAATGTCCGTTTAACCTTGGTCCAGCGATGTCTTCGACAAGTTCAATTGGCATCTTATTCAAACAATCCCAAGGATTGCGAGGAAACTCGAGCAAGAATGGTACTTGGTCTACTCAAATCTCTGGGTAACTGTTTGGTCTAACAAGGACTACCACCCCATTTTCCTATCTGAAAATGATGATCATTTAACAGATAAATTTTGATTACTTATGTAAATTAGGTATACAAATTGTCACGCTTAAATGAAAAAAAAAAAATTATTATAAAAGTAAAAAAGACTATTTGTTGTTTTAAAAATGAGATTAATTTTTGAGAATAAATTTGTATTCAAGCGATTAAACGTTTACACGAAAGAAATTATATTTTGAAAGAAGAGATAAATAATCATCTTTGAAGTTTAACGAAAGAACAAAAGTTACTTTCACGATTATGAGGAATAAAAGGAAAATCACGTGATAGGGAGGGATCAGTAGCCTCTTTCGAGCATGAGCCAACCACCGGTTTAAATCTTTCGTTACGGTCGTGGCACACACAGTAGAGGAGAGAGAGTTTGCTGCACGCAAATGAAGAATTGTCAGCCAAATACGGTTCGAGGGTGGTAAGGGGTGTCAGTAGGGGATGAATGGAGCGTAATACCGGGTCTACCCTGATTGTTGCCCTCCCTTTACCTTTCTCCCACAACCTCTCGAACCCATCGGAATTTCCAGTACGAATTTCCGCTGGTGACTGCGACGTCACTTCCGTCCCAGAGACAAGCAGAATCGTATCCCGTCTCTAACTCGTTCTCGTTTAACCTTCCCACACTATCCAACCCTTTCCCACACTCTTAAATGATCCTATGCAATTCTACTACAAGGTTCAACTTGATCATCTCGCCTTCAAGTGGATCTTCAAATTTTATCTTGCGTAACACGAAGTTAGTTTTTTGCTTTCCTCCTAACAAAAAGAAAAAGTCATTGTTATAATTCATTTTCTACTCATTCAAATTTACTTTTTAACGCCTAATTACCTGTTCTCTTTCATAGCTGTCCTATTCAATTACCTCAAACCATTTTTCGTTGTCATTATAGTTCCAACTTCGTTCGTGATCTAATTTGTCTTTGTATCTTTTCAAACAAAAACAAACAAACATTTTTTTACACATCGATACTGCTTGCTAAAAGTTTTCCTTGTAATTTTTCCAACATGGTTTCTGCGTATCTAGAAACTCATTTGAATACATATTAAAATCTGCAGTTGTTTACTCGATGTTGAGGTTACATACAAACTTTTCGAATAAGTACATTTTCCAAAATGAATCTGTGTAAAGTAAAAATTATTTTCGAAATAGTTAAGAGATTATTTTGAATTACTCAACGTTATTTCATTCAAAAAATAATATAAGCCTTCTGACTATTAAAGGAAAGGATTATGTAATTTGATTTTTCGTCCTCGAGTGCAACATAGAAAAGAAAAGAAAAGAAAAGAAAGGAAAGAAAGAAAGAAAGAAAGAGGATGAAGGGGTTAGAGGGGGAAGGAAGGAGAGAGGAACCATAAGGCTCTACCCCTTTGCAGCAGACATAAATAATAAAGCTGAAAAGGTAAATATAATTACCTAACCGTGTGTGTAACGTGCTTGTAAGCGTCGCTTTTGAAAGGCGCCACCCCCAGTCGACGTATCCAATGGCACAGCGCGCCGACTCGAATTAAGATTTCAGTAGCTCCATTCCATAAGATTGCTCCGTCGGTCCATATAATCTAACTTGGACTACACCACAAAGTCCTTCGTTTTTCTCGCTAAGAGTATTTTTTTCCTTTCTTTTTTTAAATTTATCAAAGAACGATAACAGGTACGCCAACGTTGTTATTTTTCATTAATCGTTAACTCAATATCGAAACTACCATTGTGAAATTGTATTCTTAATAAGAAACAACCCCCAAATAAAACATACACATATACATTTAAAGCAATGAACTATTCGATTCGAAATTGTCGACAAAAATAAGAAAATAATTTATACTTGAATAGACAGAGATATCTTATACGTATGTGTATATATTTATATATGTAAACTTGACGTGCAAAAAGTTAACGATATTTTTTTAATAAAAATGTTGACAAGGTAAATGTTAGCAGGAGAAAAGAAGGAGAGAAAAAGAGATTGAGAAATAGGATAGAGGGAGAAGCGAGGGGGTAGTCGCGAGAAAGTACCCTTAGCTTTATTAGAACGGCAACGATCTATGAGGCTCGATTCGCATAATGTACCTCCACGTATCTATCTACGTACGTAGGTATTATGTATACGGTGCTCTTCGAATAAACGAACGAAACGAAACGAAATGGAACGAACGAACGAACGAACGAACGAACGAACGAACGAACGCGCGTTCGAATATACTATTCGAGTATGTGAGTACTTCGGTAGCTTGAGTGTACTTTGAGTATTCGCATAAGGTACGTAGGAAAAATATGTTCAACGTGAGTACGCGTATGTGGGGGCGAAGAAGAAAAGAGAGAGAGAGAGAGAGAGAGAGAAAGGGGGTGGGTGAGGGTTGGAACGAGGAGTAGTGGTGTGGTGGGTCTTTGAGATAATTGGCTCTCTTGATCGCTGGCCTCGTTCGAAGGACCGGCTTTCAATATTCCTGTTGGACTTATCCCTGTTGAACCTTTGCCTTTTCTTAACATTTTCGTTCCTTTCTCCATGAACTACGATACGCGTCGTTCTTTTCGCGTCCCTCTTCAACCCCCTCTACCTTCTTCACTCACTTCTTTCTCTTCTTCTCTCCTCCCTCCTACTCTTTCACCATTAGGTCATTTCTCTCTACGTTCGTCGAACGTTGTTGTGTTGTGTTGTTCCTTTTTCTTTCATTTTTTTTTTTTTTTTTTAATACTATTTCATTTTTCAAAAGAATCACTTTCTTATTTCTGCTGTCTAGTCCCGTCCAAGATAACGGCTAATAATTTAACGAATTTTATTGTCTCTCCTGGATGGAACCAACCCTTTTGAGATAGAGTTGAACGGTCTAAAAATCTTTTTTTCTCTTCCTCGATGTTTTTTCCGCAAACTTCCGAAAATCATTACGAAGTTCAACAGAATGCGTTCAGCCGATCGTAAACTCGTGTCGTAAAGGTCGCCAAAATAAACGCACCTTAGATGGTGGTAGCTTAGCGTAGGCGGATGTCATGTCCCTGCAAAATCATTGCCACTAAAAATCCGAGGTTTCCGCGCGAAATTTATAACGCTTCTTGCATATCTATCGACTTTCTGTTCTCCTCTTCGTTCATTTTAACCCAAGAGAAATATTCTACATCGTTGTATTCCGAATAAAACGAGTTACCATCATCTATCGACATTTTCTGCGTTATAAGATTTGCGTGAATTGTCATCTGGTGTCTGAAAATCCTACAACTGACAATTTATTGATCACATCGTAACTCTCGTTACCATCAAAAATCATACTGTTAATGAAAAAGTTAAAGAAGATTTTTAACAAAATTGTATTACAAATCAACGTAAATCAAACAATAGATTATGACACTCGTTGCAGTTTATGAAACGTGCTGAGCATTATATCGGAAACGTGCTAGTATTGTAGATATGAACTAAACATCACGTTTCTACGATCCGACCTGATGATAACTCTCATAAAAAGATATAGTTGAGTATATACCGTTAAAGAGCGTAAAGGAATACAAACCAAGAAGAGACAGGCATACATATTTAGGATTACTCGATTGACGATCTCTCCTTGTTTGAGAACCTGTCAGTCGATCGGTAACTATACAAAAACACACTTACACTCACTCGTACGTGCCTCTCCCTGAGTTCCTGAAGGCATGGCTCGTCGTTCAGTCGGCACCCCATAGACGGTCGCAGGCGCACTTGTCAAAACTCTTATCTAAAGTCGCATCTACTGGTTAAGAAAAACAGCAAAGTTGAACCGCGGTAACTGGTCGAACTGGTGGTTAGGTCCTGTAGAGAAAAAAAAATGGAAGTGAAGAGAGAGAAGGAGTGAGTAACCGAGGAAGAAAACAATGGAGTATCCTCGAGGAACCTACGACGACACGATTGGCTACGTTTGGAAAAAAACGAAAAAAAAAAAAAAAAAGAACAATGGCGTGACCAAGCTCAGAGGAAGGTTTCGGATAATTGCAGTGGATAGTTCGAAAAGGTGCCGACCATGAAGGGCTCACCGATCGGTACGCTTGTCACGAGGCGTTAGTATATCTATCGCAAGAAGCGAACTTCCTTACGACCCGAAAAGACTCGTTAAAAGATTTTAGGATTGTTTCTTTGTAATCCAATAAGGATAAGATTTCTCTCGAGAGGTCGAACACGATAAGGATCGACGTCAAAAGGAATTGTTTGTTCTCTTCGCCGACTGAGATATGCGGCATGTTTCAGGGGTAGCTGAACCGAGAACTGTCAAAATAAGCTACCTCAAAGTTGAAACCGAAACAGGAATGCGGTCGTTTGAAAAAGAAATTAGGAAAACCTGTTTGAGGAGGTATTTTAAATATTCTCTTTTCGTTATTCTACACAACCATAAAGTTTACATTTTGGCAATAATATATTACATTTTTAATACCTATCGATATGTATCTTCCAATTTCCATTTGAATATTTCGGATTAAAATGTCAATCCTCTTCAATCGAAATTTATTCTACGGTATTACATTGTGGTATATCTTCAATAACAAACAAACAAAAAAAGAGAAAAACAAAATAAAAAACAACATAATGTTTGCACTGAAGTTAAAAACAACGATAAGCTTATTGTATATTGTACGATCACGCGATGATAAAAGCACTCGCATGATTGCAGATAATCGTTAATCAATCAACCGATATACTCAACTAATACGCTTTTCTAATGTTACAAAGTATGTGATTAATTGTTTTAATGGAAATTAGTTAGTTCAGATGACCATAAACAACGTGAAACGCTGTTCATGAAATTGAATTGATTACAATTAAATAATTGAAATGTGAAATTGAAATAAATACAATTAAATATGTTTTATTAAATATTTAACAAATTATCCATTTAACGTGAAAAAAATGATTCAATTGCCTAAAAAATATATTCAATCTTAATGGAAAATATAATTTTTTATGATCCTTACTTACGCTAAACATTTTCAAATTACTTTTTGTTAACTTATGAATGGGTTTCTTTTTTTGAACGATTACTGTCCTGTAACTGTCACACTTGCGTTAAAGGTGTCCCGACTCTGGTGATGTCCTTATCGGCTTATAGAGTTAAGAAAAAGAAGAAAATAGCCGGTACGAGAAGTTAGTTCAGCACGTTTCTACGTAATTGTTCAAAAAAGCGACTCTCGATCGCATGCCAAGTTACCGTCGGTCCGAGACGATGTTCTTTTACCGGTTCATTCACCTGTCCGATAGCCTCAAAGTATCCGGTTGGCTCGATTAAGGAAATGCAACAACCGTAAAGAAGTTAACTCGATACGTGAGATGTCAAATATCAGATCGATTATATTAAACGAAAATTTCAGTTTATATTACGTGGACAAAGAAATATATATATACATATATATATGGTTACGTTATTTATAAGACAATTTTAATCTCTGTTTACAAATCGATATCGTTGGTAAAAACAATGATTCATTCAAACAGTTACGCGGAATAAACGTGTTTATTCAGCATGTTACCGTTTAAATAACTCTTACATTTCTTCATCTAACATACGAGAAGAGTAACTTTCTTCCAATTGATTAACAAAACTAGAGCATCGTTGTTTAAAGTTCGTCAGAATGATAAATGGCCTTTATTCGAAGTAGTTCACAGTATCAGAGTACAACATTTCGATTAATCCTTTTGAAATTGGAAGACAATTTAATTAGCACTAAAAAAAAATTAAACAAAAAAAAAAACAAAAAAATAAAAAGGGGAGTTGGTAAGATGTCTCTTCAATTTCACAGTTATACCTAAATCGAATTGATCCGATGCTAGTGAAAAGAATGAACGAAGATCCATGCTCGAGAAACGGGCGGGAAAGAAGAGTGTATTCGAACTGCTCAAAAGCGGACAAGTTAGCGCGCACGAGTGAAAGAACCATGAAAAAAGGAAGAAAAGGTAAAAAAAAAGGGCGAAAGAAAGTAAAGGGAGAAGGGAAAGAGGAAAAAAAGGAAAAAGCACAATAACGCTCCTCGGCGATAAGTGACTAACCGTTGGCGACGTTGAACGTACGACGACGACGACGATGAGGAGGACGAAGATTGGGGAAGGGAGTAGAATGAGTATCGAGAATGAAGGAGAGGAAAAGAGGACAGGAAGGCGGAGCGTAATAAAAATAAGTAATTACTGCAAGTAATCCTTCTCCCTCTTCTCGATCCAGAGTAGAGAAGAGTGTCGCGTCTCCCTTCCAGATACCTCCTTCCCCACGCGAGAGAGTCGTTCAATTAACGGGAATACCGTTGTCCTTCCTTCTCTCCTCCGCCACCTTGAGCCTCCCACCCAGCGAGTCTTGCGGAAAAGCTCCCCGCGAAACCCGCGAAATGTTTCACTCGTGAAGTCGCGTGGAGCTGAACGTACCCGCCGGAGGTGGTGTGTAGACGACCAGGCTAAGAGGAACTCTCTTTCTCTTTTTCACTCTCTATCTTCTTCTCCCTGTCCCTCTTGCTGGGACGCCCCTTCTTCGCTCACGCCCCTGACGTTAACCCCACCAGGCGGCGTTAACGGCGCGCGACTCCCCTACCGCGGTAGTCCCTTCTATCGTGCTCCCACTATGGTGCTCTACTGTCGAGCTCGATCGCGTTCGGCTTTACTCGGCTCCCTACTTCCTCTCCTTTACTCCGACAGACGCTCCGCGAACGCGACGCGCGGTATGGAGACCTGTGGTGGGGAGTATTGCCCGTAGCTTCATTCGCTCGTCGGACGTCGCCGCGTACGGATGTTCTCTTATCTGTTGTTTATTATACGCGAGCGATAGTTTATCATCTAAACGCGCGCGTGTTTATACACTGTGGTGCTTTTATTTGTTCGATTACTTTTCTTTTTCAATATATCGAGTTAGAATCTTTCTTCTATTCGACGATAATAGATACAAACGTACGAACGAACAAACGAACGAACGTACCTTACGTACCTTACGTACCTTACGTACGAAACGAACGAACGAACGAACGTGACGGAAAGTCAATGGTGTGTGTGAAACAGAGAGTTTAGTGTGACACAGTGCACGGATATGAATTCTCGAGACGACCGTCATGCGTCTCCTTCGCCAGCGAAGGATCCTTCCTGGAGACACGGATTGATGCCACGGGATCGTTTTTACGGTGAAGAGCCACTCGATCGTCCTAACTTATCGTCGTGTTCAACTCGATGAAGAACGATTGGTCAAGGAAGAAGACGACGGCTCACGACGGTGAGGAGGATCTGTTTTCTTTCAAAAAGAAAAAATCAAAAAACAAAATAAGAACCTATTATACTACGACAAACTCGTTCGCGCGCCTTTTTTTTTTAAATTAACTTCTGCCACCTTACGTCGTCGAGGGAATAATTAACTAAAAAAAAAAAAGAAAAAGAAAAGAAATCTAAAGACAGCGACGTGTGTTCTACGAAAGAAATAGTGTATATTACGATGTCAAGGATCTAAGAGTAAAAATAGTGGGGAAAAAAAAACCCGATTAAACCGATTCCTGACGGTTGTGATTAAATTCGAATCTTCTTCTTCTTCTTCTTCTTCTTCTTCTTCGAATTATTTTGAAATCCTAAATAGAGAAAAGAAATAAATAAATAAAACGTGACACACACAAGTGGTTGGACGCGAGAGGAAGATAATCCTCGTAAGTTTTCTCTTAGCGATTTTCTTCCCAAGGAAATTGTAGGATCAACCAAAAAACCACGGCATGCCGTGGCTCGAGGTGAGCAATAAAGTTTATCTTCTTAAATATCGATGACACTTAAATAACGAGAATCCTAAAAAGTACTTAATTTAAATAACATCATGTTCTTCTTTTAATATCTCTTCACGCGAAATTACAATGTTCGATAATCGATATAAATAATACATATATACATATCCTTTATATTTTCACTGTCATATACACATTAATTCTAATATTATTATATATTCGGATATAAAAATTAAAGAAAAAAAAAAAAACGACTTCCTTAATCGTTGTTCGAACGTAAATAAATCATACGATTTAAATACTCACAATAGTTGCATTTTTTTTTTTAACCGAGGTAGAAAAATAGAAAAAATATTTGTTGTTGTTTTTCTTTTTCCTTGAAACAATCTTAAAAGTCGAAATATCTCGACGCGACGAAGGAAAGAGGGGTTCATTTCGAACGTAGAGCACGACGGTGACTGAATGAGAGGAGGAGGAGAAGGAGAAGGAGGAGGAGAAGAGAGAGAAGAAATTTCAGTGTAGGAAGCGTCTGGAGAGAGAGAAAGAGAGAGAGAGAGAGAGAGAGAGTGTCGGGACACGCAGGCGCGCCCATTCTCGCCACGTGCTCGCCTGCACTTCGTTCAGATTTCTATGCCGTTGTATGGAAGAAGAAAGGTGTTAACTGTTTCTCTCTCTTTATCTCTCTCTCTTTCATTATTTTGCTCCTCTCTCTTTCTCTTTTCAATTCCCTCATTCCCTTTCTTTTTCTTAAAAATCGTAATATACCAAACGAACAAACGCGATATACACATCGAGAATAGTTTCTGTGTATTCTCTGTACACACATATATATATATATATATATATATATATATGTATGTATATATAGGTGTATATATATATATATAGGGGGTAGATAGAATGCGACGTAGCGAGTTGGAGTTCGCTACGTTGGCAAAACAAGTAGTCAGTTACGTGAGTGCTGGCGAACCGCCAAAGAGCTTTGAAGTTTCAACGTTGAGCATGAATCTCTTTTCCCTTTCTTTTTCTCTACATTACTAACCCTTTCTCTGTTTCTCTCTCTCTCCCTCTCTCTATCTATCTCTCAATCTATCTATCTATCTATCTATGTATCTATCTATCTCTTTCTCTCTCTATTTATATCTCTATCTTTCTATCTCTCTTTTTCGTGATTTAACTCGCGTAGGGACACGCTCAACTTATTTTTCCCCCACTTTTCGTCTTTCCGTTCTCTTTTCTGTAATTCACGCGGGGTATTGCCGCCATATCGCCTTTGTGGCGCGTCCAATTAGCTTGGCCTTCATATATATACCTACAGAGGAAGAGAGAAAGAGAGAGAGAGAGAGAGAGAGAGAGAGAGAGAGAGAGAGAAGTAACTTACATTCAATGAAAGTGTAATTAGGGATTTTATGAAGTGCATATGTCAACCTTCGATTTTTGAAATTTTTCTGAATCGCACACAGGACCGATCGAATGAATGCTTGTTACCTTAATTGATAAAGAACGTAAACTATTTTTTTTTAAAACCCTTTCTCTCTACAATCCTTTCATTCACTAATTAATCTTATTGAAGAAGTATTCGTATATTTCGTTACTGTAAATGACAATAACATCAAATTAGTCATTCATTTTGTTCAACGTCATAACCATGAATATATGATGATACCAATCGATATTATAAAAAAAAGAGTTGAAGATATCTGTTGTATATATTGTTGGTTTAGTGCAAAAGTGGCAGTTTGTAATTAAACGAGGACCTTATCGTAACCAGGGTCTATGTAGGTTGCTTGAATGTATACGGGAATGAATTAAAATGTAAATATTTGATTAAAGTTAATCCCAACCAGGTGGGTAGACTGGTATAAAAGAGACGGAGAAAGAAAGAACAGAATAAGGGTGTGTAAGAGCTCGTATGATAGAGAAAGAGAGAGAAGACAACTGGAGGGAAAGTGAAAAAGGAAGGAAAAAAAAGAAGCATAGAATTAGAGAGAAAGAAAGAAAGAAAGAAAGAAAGAGAAAGGTAGATAGACAAAGATAAAAAGAAAAAGAGAGAGAGAGAGAGAGAGAGAGTTAAAGAAAAGCATGGTGGTAGTAGCCCTAAGGGGTGCTTTTTATTGCCGGTTTTTATTAGCTGAGTAGGTGTAGTCTGTTTCTCCCTTCGCAAGGCTCTCTCTCTCTTTCTTTCTTTGTCTTTCTCATATACCGGTATACACATATATACATCCTCTATTCGAGTCCACGATGCAATGAAGGAATGGCGAGGCAGAGGGTTGATTAAAATTACCGTTGCGTCAGGAATTACCCCGTGATATTGAAAATTAAATTAATACAATACAATACCCCATCCCGTTTTCTGCTAGCCGCTGAGACTAATTAGTTATATTATGGTAATTAAAAGTTAAGTATACCTACGTATCTCTAACTAAAGAATTCGTTGGCATACTGTAGCATTGTGACGTATATATTTTCATAATTTTACTGCTCTTTACCAAATTTCTATTTGTAATTCTCTCTCTTTCTCATTCTCATTTTTTCTTTTTTTTTTCTTTCTTTCTCTCTTTCTCTCTTTCTCTTTTATTTTTATTTTAATTAAAACTTATGAAAAATTATTCCTCTTTCATTTGTTTAATTCAACATTATTCAGGATAAAATTGTAAAGAATGCTAGCTAACCGTTATGATTTCTTAGGCCAAGGTTTTCTTCGAGCCAACAACAAAAAAATGGAAACACAAAAAGTATAGCAATGAGTAGTATAACCGTATATATATATATATATATATACTGTATATGAGAGAGAGCCAGTAACAGTTTAAAATATAACTGTTGGCAAAGAGAAATGAAACGACATTCGCATAATGTATCGCATATATAGGACATGTAATCATAGCGAAGAAATGCATAAACGAGATAGCACTAAAGTATATAGCGAGCTAAGAAAGATGCTATATCAATTATTATTCACGCCAATTTATTAAAAAGGACTCCACTGCTTGGTGGAAGAAGCACACATCTTCACAATTCTTAGTAGTCATGTATATTCGCTTTCTCATATATTCGTCGACCGAATTCAATACTTTTAGATGGCCCTTCTTCCCCTCCTCCCTTCCTTTTTCCCTTTCCCTCTCTCTTTCTCTCTTTCTCTCTCTCTCTCTCTCTCTCTTTCTGCCAACCTGACAGATAAGTTTATAACTATGTTATGAATACGCTTCCTTTCATAAATTATCGAAATGCTTTCAAGAAATTGTAGGATGCATTAGCTTACATTACGGTACTTCCATTACATTATGAATATTACTCCGTATATTGATGAGGAGGAGTGGGGAGAAAAGCAGGGGTAGCGATAGTGGTGCTAGGAGGGAAGAAGGGAAACACGGCATAGAGCCACGTCGTATTTTATTATTCCCGATATTTAAAATAGTTCGTGTTACTCGTGATAGTTATTACTACGTTAAAAAAGATATTAACATAGACAAACATAATTATTTAAATATGCGTCAAATAAATCGTTTTTCTGTATATATAAATATATATATATATATTTTTTTTTATATACATATATTCATCTTCAATCATTTTAATAATAAATCTACGATAAATAATTTGCTAACCAACAGCAATAAACAAAATAACAAATATATACTTATATTATATCCTTAAGATTTTCTTCAAATAATTCCAAATTTATACGAAAAATAGTTAAGCCCACTATGCATATTTTTGTTTGTTTTCTTTTTATGCATAAACTCAAACCCTATCCACACACACACACGTTCGAAGCGCGTACATATAAACTCTTTCAGACTTTCTTCGTTATTACTAGGCGGGATGCCTTGATGCATTAACTTGAATACATCCATGAATATTATCCCGTACTTTGGCGAGTACACTCAGAAGGCGATGATTGCAATGGTGGTGGTGGTGGTGGTGGTGGTGGTGGTAGCAGTGGGGGAAGGAGATGCTCCGGAGATGTAAGAGAATGGAGTGGGGGAAGATTGGCGAGGGGTCGGCTAGTATATAAGGTATAAGGTAGTCCATTAGCGTTAATATTATAAACGTTAGCTGCCCTCTGGCCATCCCAGTACATGCTCGCGTGCGCATGCGTGGTCGTTTTCACAAACATACATACACTCACATACGTCTACGAATATACTCGGTTCTCCCTGCACATAAACACACATAACACACACACTCCCCCTCCTCCCTCTTTCTCTCTCTTCATCTTTTGTATATACATCTAACTCTCATACAAACATACATTAATATAAGCTACACATACATATACATATACACGCTCGTGCAATACATTGACAGTTATACATGGTCAGACTTAGGCGCACAAGCATACACCGACAAATATTACGCGAACGGTACGTACACCGCAGCTCTTAGGTGTTCTGTTACCATATATTATCCCCAGACTCTTTACTCCACACAGTGACCGGATTGAGATCTGACACCATTTGTTACGGCCCTAGTCGATGGTTTGATTTATATTTCCTTCAATATTGGCTTCATTTTTTTTTTTCGACGGTAATAATTTATATATATGTATATATATAATAAATTTAAATGCTAATTAATTGTTTACGGTTATAAATTCAATTAGATTAAAGATCTGAATCTATTTTTCTTATTGTTAAACGATAAAGAGAAATAATAATAGGAAAATGGTTATTTATCTTTGTCGTATGAATTTTAAATAAAGAATGCATTTAGTAAACCTATTTTCTACGTTTATTACATATATTAAAATTGTATTTATATACACATATATATATATATATAATATACGTTTATTCACATATACATTAATGGCTATGTAAGAGGCAAGGGTCTAAAGGTACTTCGATTCAAGAGGATTTTGCTAATCCTGTGACGAGGATGGTTTTAACGGTTGGCCAAAGTGCAAAATGGAAATATGGGGTTTCTATGGGTTAGACGTAGGATGGAAGAAAGGACCAAAAGAAACTAATGTCCATAATATATTATATTTCGATACACCTGGTCTT